CTTTTTATTATTTGAATATTATCTGTATATGTGGATGATTCATGTATTAAGTATTCTGCAGAGGCTGTCAGAATCTTGAGAAAAATCACATTGTTCTATTAAGGTATTACTTTAAATTAATTAAAAAAATTTTAAAAATATACTTTTGTTGTTGTTTCACTTCTGTTCGAAAACCTCTCTATTACTTTAAGAAATGAGAAGTTACTATTAATGCCATAATACTCAATATAATATGTGTAAAATTTATAAACATTCACATATATTGTATCTAGAAATAAAAACATGTGAGAGAAAGAGTTTCGAAACTACTTGAAGATAGTAAATATATATGAACACTCCACAGTATTGAGCTTAAGAAACTAAGCAAACTAAATAAACAAAATAAAATAATTATATCTAATATGGTTGGTTGGTTGGAGTGGCGGCCCTTTTTACCAAGAAAAAGCCCACTTAAGCACAAATAAAGGCCCGTTGTGGTACCACAAGGAAAGAGCGATGTTCGTATATAGATAAGGTGATCTGTATACGACCAACGCCCAACAGAGAGGCAACGACTCCCCCATTAGGTGAAAGAAAACAGTTCTATGAATCTAGCTAGGTCCCTCACATTGTAGGATGAGAGATCAGTCAGATCGGTCAGAAAAGGGGCCCCCAAGATTTTTGATCTTCTTCTGGCTAAAGATGGGCACTGACACATGAGATGAAACACAGTTTCCTCCTCGTCCTCAGAGCCACAACCGCGACAAAGGTCATTATAAGGAAGACCCAGTCTCATAGCATGCCTCCCTATTAAACAATGACCCGTCAGCACCGATACCGTAGCACTGAGCAGATCTCTCTTTAGTTGGAGCAGCTGACTTGTATATATCTAATATTAATATTATTAATAATAATTTAAAAAAATATATATATATTAAGCATAGGCTATATAGTATAGGAAAGCCAGTAAATACCAAAATAGTTATCCGAAATATGAAAGATAAGGTTCTAAACGGCATTACTATACTTCCATAAAACAATAAGAATATCTGCATTTTAATTCCTAGAAAATTCATGAGAGCAATTTTTAGGAGGAAATATATAGGAATTTTTCTTTATCTTTTTGATTATTTGAAAGATAATTATCTAATCTAATAATTATCTTTATCTTAAACTTTAATTATTGTTTTAGTTACACGTCTTTATTTTTTATTTTGTAATTTGAAACGAATATATCTCTGTTCTGTTTTGGATTTATGAGTCGTTGTAGGTATGCATTGAAAGCAATTTGTTTATAGAATTCTTTAGAATTCGACTTTTAATTGTACGTCTGTTTCTTCCAATAAGATTAACATACACAGCAGATTGGATGATGAAATACAATCTTAACAATTATAAAATAAAGTGCGTGACTTTTTTAAAACCAGACATTAATAAAATTATGAAAAATTGAGTTTAGAAATCAAATAATTGTTTACGTTTGCATTTAAATAATGTATCTAGATCCCTGTGTATATAATTGCATATACCAGCAAAAGATTCAGTATTGTGAGGCTTTGTATAAATATTTATATTCTTTACTGGACAGAAAAATTCAAGTAAGCGATAAGGAGCAAGACTTTTCGATAAAACGTAAAACTTGGTTTTATTCACAAATAACTACTGTTGTTGAGGGATTAGATATATTTGTATGATCGAATATTTATCAAGCTGTGTTAGTAAATAAAATGTAAACAATTTGTTTTTGTTTTTATTTTTTTAATTGTTTTATGCAATTTTCAGACCACCAACTACGAGCTTAAGTAATATACATATACATATGTATGTACATATATGTAACATATATGTTGGAGTGTAAGATTATGAGTAATGATATTTATTTATCATATTAGAATGAATAAGTACAAATTTAGTTAAATAATTACATTAATACAAAATATATAAGCATTTAAAAATTTAAATAATTTAATTTAATTTGTTTAATCAAGATATCGCACTCGTAGCCATAGCTTATAGGTAGGCCATTGGCCCTCTTCATATAATTAGGTGTCCGTATAACGACATTTCTATCTAATGAAGTTTCTGTATAAAGAGGTTTGTATATAATGTGGTTTCCTAGGTAGTTAGATAGATGAAGTGGAAAGAGGTTCCAACTTTTCTCACATAGCTAAAAAAGTCATTGTAATTCCACATTATTCCTAATTATGGGTAGAAAATTGAGCATCTTAGAACCAGGTAAACGCATTTATCTATGCAAGTATCTGGCCAATATAAATGTTACAAATATCGCATTAAATTAAAAAATGGGACACCCTGAAGCTTGAGATTAATTCTATATAAAACTTGACATAAACAAAGCAAGTGTTCCGGTGTCTTCTCTTCGAGCAACAATACAAATGTTCTACAACAGAATCACTAGGGCATGTCTAGCCTGACTTAATGCCTTCATATATTCTAGTGGCCCATCGATATTATTTTAGATACTTCCGGGTTACTTTTATGAATTAAGTAAAAGGTTTTCTGTTCTTTAAACATTGTTGGTATAGACAAATATTATACCAACTTTTGTATGTAGGTCTATCCCTAAAAGGTTTCATATAACTGAGTTTCTAAAAAATGAAATTTCCAAATAATGTTCCTCCATAACAAGGTTTACATATAACAAGGCTTCCAAATGTCTTTTTACATAGAGACAAGATAACAAAGATAAAGATAACAAAGTTTTCATAATATAAGATATCCATACAACAAGATCTTCATACAACAAGATTTTTGTATAACGAAAATATCATTTTCTTTGCGTTTATAAGACAATATTTTCGTGTAAGGAGCAATTCATTAAAAGAGGTTTTAATCAATTTCCATATAAAGAAGGTTCCATATATTCACATTTTTATAAGATGCGATTTTCATAAAATGATATTTTTATAAAACAAGATTTCCATATAACGAAGTTTCCATTTAATAAGATTTTTATAAAACAATATTGCCATATACTGAAATGTTCATAAAACACGATTTCCATATAACAAGGGTTGTATATAATGAAATGTTTGTATAACGAGGATAAGAAGAGTTTGATATAGCGAGGTTTTCATAAATCAAAGTTTTTATTAAATGAGACTTTTGTATGACGTGGTTTTCGGGCCACGGGGACTCTGTATAGCGTGGTTTTTGCATAACGAGGATGGAGTATTATACGTAGGTATATCGTTTTAAAAATATGAAGTTATACTGTAAAGTTAAGTGTTTTCTATTTCTAATTTTTTCCACCTCACGAATATGATGGACAATATGAATGATTTAAAAAAATAACGGAAGCCCAAACTTTGTGTTAAAAATTATACTTGGCGAAAAAATAAATTATTTATTATTAAAGTCATCTATTCGCTAAAAGCATCTATTTTTGCTATAGTTTTGAGTAGACTTTTTAAGAACTATAAACTTAACTGTTTAATCCAATCATATTTGTACATAACGTACCATTTTTATGCTATTTTGATCGCTGTAAAATCAGTAGATTGAAAATTGATCAAATAACCTCGAAACGCGCAGTGAAGACGTTAAGAAAGAAGTCTTTCCTTCCAATACTATTGTTAACAATACGTACAAATATTGTTAAGAACATTTACATTAAATTTGTAATACGCTTTGTTGTTAAAAATAAATTTCTCAAAAGTCATTAATCTGTTTTAGAAGAAGTCTTTCCACTACTGAAGAAGCATTTATATAACTAGAAGAAATATTCAAACGAGTAAAGTATATTTTAATATCTTAATATTTTTATCGAATATCTTTTGCCTTTTTAAAAATCAAATTATTATTTTAAATTGTAATAATTTCTTTAAAGTTTAATATAGAGGTTTTTTCGAACAGTATTTAACTACAACAACAAAAATTTTATTTTTTATGTTATTTTAATTAATTGAAGCTTAATATAAAATTTTAAATTAAAATTAATAATATATAATAATATATACATATATAATATATATACAGTTTGTCAAGAATGAGTTTTCACACTGAAAATAATTGAAAATTTTAATTTCTTATTCAGAAAAAGACAACTTCTTGTTTTAGTATACATATGTATATATTTTTTATTTTATATATTTGTTAATTACTATATTAAGAATATAAATATAAAAAAAAATTATAAAATTATTGAAAGAAGAACACAAAATATGCCAAAAACAAATCCTACATCATTTTTTGACTGTCAAATTACTGTTTTCACAACTTGGGTTTTTCTATTATTTTGCATTATTTAACCCTCATACTATGTTCGGGTCATTTCATGACCCAAAATGACTTTAAATTGTAATAATTTTTTAAGTTTAGCATATTTTCTAAAACTTTTTCGCCTCAGTGTATAAATTTTAATATTATTTCATAAAATTAACTCAACTTGAACAAAATTTGTGTGATAGTCATTTAAATACAGCACTATGCACATGTTATGTTTGGGTCATTTTATGACCCCTTATTTTATTCATTATTTGCAATACTAATTATATGGCTTCTAAAAAGCGCATTGGCAACACTATTTATTAAGATAAAAACACTAACAAATTTTTCCCGCGCTAATGTAACTTTCATGTCAAAACGGTATTTTGATAAAGTGTTCGCAAGTTAATTTCATATAAACCTAATAAATTACAATAAATTATGTCGATCGGAATGGAAGTAAGTTTACATGTAATTATAATCTGTTTATCAAGAATCTATAATTTTTGTGCTTTATTTTTAAGACGCTGAAGGATGATGAAATTGTCGCTTTTTTGAGTGATTGTGACGACGAAGCAAGTGATGATGGTGATCCAGACTTTGAGCCAGAGCTACTTCAACGGAACTTATCAGAGGATGACATGGATACAGATGTAGAGCTGAGTAAAGAAATAGAGATTCCTCTTG